AAAAATATATATGTATATGAAATTATTTTATGCTTCTGTCACTGTTTTTCAAAATATGTGTATGCGCATGCGCAAGTGTGATTGCGCGCGTGCGCACAGTGGGGATGAGCTGGCCGGAAATCGGTATCAGAAAATGAACTGGCAAACTTGCTTGAGATGCCATATCATAGTCATTATTATTATTATTATTATTATTATTATTATTATTATTATTATTAATAATAATCTCTTGCTTCTCCAATCCCGTTGTTTATAGATTAAATATCGCAGGTTTTCTTTCTTCCCTGCCGACATGTTTGGCGTCATGTTACAGTCTTATTTTCTTATTTTAAGTTCCTTTTTCAATTCATTGGACTGATATCTTCCATTCCAGATTATCTTCTGTTGTTATCTTCGAATTGGTTGAAATTCCTCCATTATGATTCATGGAATACAGTGAATATCATTTTCAAATTGCAAATGAAAATGGAAAAACAACAATTCAGAAATTGTTGTATTCTTCTGCATTCTTCGTTTACTTTTTGATTATTCTTCGGTGTGGAAGAGAAAAAAAAAACGTTCTCGCTATATTTACCAGTGTTGTAATGGGCTTAAAATGTCGTACCAGCCTAGAAAAGAATAAGATTTTATCCAGAGCATGATAAATAATAAGACAAAAATGAGATGAAAGAATGCTTAAATCTTTCAACACCACCAGCTTTTATAAATAAGGCTTTGGCACTGAACATCTATTAACCGGACTGTGTCTCCCCATCGTACCTAAATTAAATGCTAAAACATTCCATTATAATATTTCAAATTTGCTTAAAAGACCATTTTAAAGAAAAAATATCAAGCAAAGATCTTTGTTCACTATTTACATTATTCGGACTATTTTCTTCATCTCTGTCGCCATATTTATTATAACGTCTTAGCGATGTACGCTCACGCGGTTGGAACGTTGAACTGAGCCCTGCGGTAGACTGTTCTAGTTCCACGCTTAATGGATGTCAGTTATCTCCTGCTAATTCCCCTCTCTAAGTTCTCCACTGCCTTATCTCGGTATTGAACTCACACTCTTTGGATCTTGTCACTGGATCTAACCAACGCCTTTATCCAATCTGCCATGTGTCCTTGAAGACATCACTTAATGAATTTCTGGGTATTATAAACCTAATGTCTCACTTCATAAATCAAGTTTCGAGAAGCATCATTTATGTAACCAAAAAGATATATAATCATATTAAAAATGAAAAATCACGAGTGGCTTTGATATTATCGACTGACCCAATTACGTAAATAGCTTATACTGAAGATGCGAATAAAAGTAAAACATTCTGGCAACACCTTTGCTTGAGAGAGTTTGAGGAGTAAATTTAGAGTTGGAACAGTTTGAAAGCATCAGTTTAAGAAATTTGAAATGATTTTAAAGAATTCGAGACAGTCTAAAGAATCAGTTCGAAGGCACTTTGAAGAAATTTAATCTCGTAGCAACATCACATTATCTCTGTAGTAAAAGGACATGAATATATACACACAGATTTATATATATATATATATATATATATATATATATATATATATATATAGAGAGAGAGAGAGAGAGAGAGAGAGAGAGAGAGATAACTTTAACTGAAAAAACATACAACAACAAAAAATTGATAATTAATTATTTATATAATTACTTTTTGTGGTATAATATATATACTGCACAAATGAATCTCTCTCTCTCTCTCTCTCTCTATATATATATATATATATATATATATATATATATATATATATATATATATATATAAATGTTTCATTAAAAACAACAGAAAAGTTACTACGGTAAAGCTTTGTATTTAATTTTTCTTGTGCTCTAACAAGAGCCTTCTTTTCTGGACAAAGCGTGTGTAAGAACTGTCCAAATGTTTTATAATTCAGAGCGCTTTCGGCTATACCTTTAGCCATTATCAAGGATGATTCGATTTTTCAGCTTAATTGAGTGTATGCATTATGTGTATGCTTTAGTGTGCTATAGGGATGTTTTAATTTCCGAATACGGTTAGCACATTGTGGCCTTGTTCGTAGTTAATATTGTTGAGAGTTGGCTTTTTCTTTTTTAAAGCTGCTTTTATTTATTTTTTTATCTTTTATTATTAAAGATTTTTATTATTTAAAGCTTCCATTATTCCACTATAAAACATTTGGACAATTCTTACAAACTCTTTGTCCAGAAAAAGAAAGCTCTTGTGTGAACACAAGAACAATTAAATAAAAAGCATAACCGTAGTACTTTGTCTTTTTAATGAAACATGCATATGCATATATATATATATATATATATATATATATATATATATATATATATATATATATATATATATATATTATTGTACATCTGAATCAAGTAAATACACACATGTACGTATGGTGTAATTAATTTGTAAAAGAAACTGCTAACAGATCGAAATATCAGCATAGGTTAAAAATTCTCAAACGCACAAACCTAACTTTACACACCGCCCTATTTTATCCCAGATTGCCATTCCTGTCTACCAACCGACTAAAACGCTCAACCAGTTAATTACATAAATCCTAAGGAAAATTACTTTTAACCTGTACCACTGAAATCCCATTCGATGTCAAAGAAATAACGTATATGTGCAACGTAATGTCCTTTCTACCACTGATGAGGATCTCAGAAAAAGATGGAATGTACTTGGGAAATAAAAGTGATTTTCACTGTTACAGTGAATTTCTTGTATCATTTGATTGTAATACACGGAAAAAATAAATGATGATGTCTATTCAAATACATGTACTCACTAAAATAATGTTTATAGTAATAAAACACACACAATATATATTAATAAATGTTTGTGTATTTAGACAGCAAATTCTTTTTTTAGGCATGTCTGATTAAATAAATTACAAACATTATGTCTGATTACTTTTAGTATAATCTGTTCATATTCACGAATATTTTTCCATGTATTGCAAACAAATGATGCAAGGAATGCACTGTAAAATCACTTTTATTTCCCAAGTACTTTCTATCTCTTTACAGCAACATTCCTGTTCACATTCACAGTATAGAAAAATACTGATTGATAACACAACTACCCTACACCAAGAAAATAACAAATTAAAACTACAGATCCTCAAAGCAATCTTCATTAAAAAATTGAAGCCGACATTGAACAGAATCAGCAATGGATACTGTGATAATGTTCTAAAATGCCTATAAAAAGGACAGTTTTCATGCTTCAATGTGTGCTTGATCATGACATTCCAACGTAAAAGAAAAAAATTCCATAATTGATAAACGCAAATAGAAAAATTCAGTAATGGATAGCTACACATAGTTTTTGCTTTACCAGTTGCAGCCCTGATGATGATTTCAGAAAGAAATGGAAATTACTTGGGAAATAAAAGTGATTTTCACTATGACAGTGCATTTCTTGCATCATTTGATTGTAATACACGGAAAAAATATCCGTTAATATGAATAGGTTATGCTAAAAATAAGCTGACATAATGTTTGCAATTTATTTATTCAGGCATGCCTAAAAGAGGATTTGCTACTAAATGCTGTCCTCAAATTCACATACAAACTGAACAAAGATAACAAATTTCCTTCTCTTGATATTTTAATAGACACAAATAATAACACATTTACCACCTCCCCATATAAAAAATAACCATCAAAAACTCTTGCACTCTCAACTATAAGAGTGAATGTCCAGATTACTACAAAATAGAACTTATACAGAATTTAATTAGCCAAGCACAGATAAACTCCTCCACAAAAAAAGATTTTCTACACTGAACTAAAAATGTTCAGCAGACTTTCATTAACAATGACTTCCCAAAACACATTGTAGATGAATAAGGAAAATTTAATATCCACATTAAGAGAAATTTGTTCCTTGAGTCGGCTAAAAATAAGCAGACATGATGTTTGTAATTTATTTAATTAGACATGCCTAAAAAAGAATTTACTGTCTAAATACACAAACATTTATTAATATATATTGTGTGTGTTTTATTACTATAAACATTATTTTAGTGAGTACATGTATTTGAATAGACATCATCATTTATTTACAATGAAATTAACATTTACTAGACTAGATCATTAAAATTAAAGAAACTAATTAGTTTTCAATTAATGTTTGAATAAACAGGAATATCTATTCAAATATGTGTGCCCACTAAAATTTATAGCAATAAGAAATAGTCCTATTTTTAAAAGTCCATTAATTACTTTAAAAGAGAAATATATAATTGATTGATTTATTTTTTATGGCTTATCACTGAAATTGGAACTTGACTCTTTGATTAACAATTCTGTGCTATTATTCATTAAAGACGTCACACATCCAAGCTTACAGCCCCTGGCATTCTGAAGCAGTCACCCATCTAAGTACTGACCAGGTTTGACCTTGCTTAATTTAATGGAGAGTCAAATTACAATTTCAATTGGGTTTGTTATTTTCACTTATGTGCAAATACATCTGTTCTTCCCCCAGCTATGGGTTAATTAGTAAGACTTAAAAATTAAAACCATCATCTCCCCCCAAAAAAATTGCATCAAAAATATTTAGATATTAGCATTAAATAACCCATAGAGTTTGATATACCACTAAACAAAACCAACCAACAATCCTATTGCAATATATTCCTATTTTGTGTGGTACCGTTCTCAGTAAAAACCATACAGAAACCTTCTTTGTCTTTCTCTTCTTTTACAAATCTTGAAATTGGTTTGGAATAGTTGTATAGAGGATTAGCTAACTCTAATAATAATTTATTGATTGGCACAGTTTCTTTTTTTCAGCCAGAGATCTTCCATATTTGGATGAATTTGAAAATTCAAGGTGGGCTGCTTCTTTTCATATATTGAGTCATTTAATGATGAAATTTAGTAATTTATTTAATCAGACATACCTAAAAGAGGATTTGCTGCCTAAATACACAAATTAGCAATGAATATACGTATCATCACCATCAGCCGCCATCTTGAAAGATTTATGTTTTCTATAAAAAAAAAAAACCTTTTTCTTTTACCTCAGGATAAGATCAGAAATCTATCTATCTATCTATCTATCTATCTATCTATCTATCTATCTATCTATTTCAGCATATATTCATTTGGTTTGGTTTGTTTTACGTCATATGAACCTCAATGGTCGACAAAAGTTTTTTTTGCTGGAAATATTTTTTATCTATCTATCTATCTATCTATCTATCTATCTATTTCAGTATATATTGATTTGGTTTGGTTTGTTTTACGGGCTATCTATTTCAGTGGGTTATTTAATGACAACAAGATTTTTATTGCTGGTAATATTTTTTATCTATCTATCTATCTATCTATCTATCTATCTATCTATCTATCTCAGTATATATTGGTTTGGTTTGGTTTGGTTTGTTTTGTTTTACGGCATATCAAACTCAAGGGGTTATTTAATGCCGACAGGATTTTTTTGCTGGTAATATTTTTCATCTATCTATCTATCTCAGTCTGTTCACATCTATCTATCTATCTATCTATCTATCTATCTATCTATCTATCTATCTATCTATGTCAGTCCTTTCATATGTATCTATCTATCTATTTATCTATCTCAGTCTGTTCATATCTATCTATCTATCTATCTATCTATCTATCTATCTATCTATGTCAGTCCTTTCATATGTATCTATCTATCTATTTATCTATCTCATTCATCTCCATTCTATCTATCTATCTATCTATCTATCTATCTATCTATCTCATCTATTTCTATCTATTTATCTATCTATCTATCTATCTATCTATCTATCTATCTATCTATCTATCTATCTATCATCTCTATCTATCCTTTCATATGTATCTATCTATCTATTTATCTATCTCAGTCTGTTCATATCTATCTATCTATCTATCTATCTATCTATCTATCTATCTATCTATTTATCTATCTCAGTCCTTTCTATATGTATCTATCTATCTATCTCAGTCTGTTCTATCTATCATTTATCTATCTATCTATCTATCTATCTATCTATCTATCTATCTATCTATCTATCTATCTATCTATCTATGTCAGTCCTTTCATATGTATCTATCTATCTATTTATCTATCTCAGTCTGTTCATATCTATCTATCTATCTATCTATCTATCTATCTATCTATCTATCTATCTATCTGATAGAGATGAACAGACTGAGCTAGATATGCAGTGAAATATTTTAAAAAAAGCAATATAGCATATATGAGACTGAATAAATCAAAATAGTGTTTGTAAAATTCACTGAAAACCAATAGAGTCAGTAAATAGAAATTGCCTTTGTTCTTGAAATGTACTCAGGTTCTGTTGTTTAAAAAGAGGCAGACGTTTTCTGCAACCAGACTTTTATTTCTTAAATTTATTTCTATCAATCAACTTTCGTTCTATGATGTTTTGTTGAAAATATTTTATTACTGATATAGATAACTCAGTGAGCTGCAGGACTTGACCAACAAACTTTTTTGAAAGAGCAGAAGCATATTGGAACAGAGGTCAGCTTCGAGAAATCCAAAGTAATGGTGAATAACAGAAACAGTAACACCTGTATTAACATTACCATAAATGGGAATTCGCTAGAGGAAGTGTCTAGTTTTAAATACTTAGGAGCAATCTTGTCTAAAGGTGGTACCTGCAACTCAAAAATCTGCACACGGATTCCCGCAGCCATGGCAGCGATAGCCAAATTGACAAGAATATGGAGGAGCAAAATCAGCTTTCAAATAGAGTACAGACTGTATAAATCATTGGAAGACTCCATTCTCCTATATGGATGTGAAACGCAGATAGTTTTGAGAGAAGGATCCAAGCGTTTGAGAACAAATGCATGAGAAAATTCCTTGGCATCTTCTATTGAGAACATAAAACCAATGAGTTTTTGCCGCCAGGAACCTCTTCTCGCCAATGTCAAACGGAGAAAATGGCCTGGTTTGAACATGTTACAATGCACATCCTGCTCAAGACCACCATGCAAGGCACCGTTGGAGATGGACGCAGGTGAGAACGCCAACGCAAAAGCTGGTTGAACAATGTCAAGCAATGGACAAGTATGACTATAACAGAATTGTTGATGGCTGCCGTTGATAGACAGTTATGGGGGAGATTTAGTGTGCCCTCTGCATTCAACCCCCCCCCTACGATTACAAAAGTCAGGGGAACGATGATGATGATGATGATGATGACGATGATGATGATGATGTATAAAAATATACTAATTACTTGATCTTCTACGGTAAATGTACGCCCAGATTAATACAGTGTTGCCTTTCTTTAAAAAAACTACCACTATTACAATTGTACAGGTGGTATGTTGGCTCATAAACAGATAATGAAGGACGGAAGACAACAAAACACAGCGAAGACCTGAGTAAACAAAAATTATATTGATAAGTTTATTTTTGTTAACGAAAATGCATCGAAGAAAATAAGTTTTTTTTGTTATTGTTGTTTTTTTTTGTTTGTTTTTTTTTTGCACCAGGCAAAAAATATCTCTGCATATTCATGTAGAGCTGGGTTCGGCAGCCCACGGCCGGCGGGCCATATCCGACCCGCCAGTGAGTTTAATTCGGCTCCCAGGTTTTGTGTGAAAAACTTGTCAAGTAGTGACTCATTAGTCGGTCAAAGGCTTCCCATACACTGATATTGTGAAGAACGCAAAATTAATTTAACAGCACTAATGACTGATCATTAAACAGGCTTCCGTAGTAGTAAAAACAGATCCTTTTTTTTTTGTACCAAAGCGTTATTGCACTTTACACTAGCAACTCATCTACTGATGGATAAAACAGGGTGCTTTTTATACTCTTAGATCTTAAGGGGAGGTAACTGATGATTTATCAGTACAGTAATTAAACTTTAAAATTGGCAAGACGTTTGCTTATAGTAGAGCGATTAAAGATTTGATACAAGAGTTTTCTTCCCGTTTTGATGACTTCCGGCAATATGAAAATTTATTTAAATTATTTGCTACTCCTTAAGAAACAGATTCAGCGCAAGTGACAGAAGAATATAAGTTAATTGACTAACAGTGTGACAACTTATTTAAATCAAAATTTAATTCCGAATCCACTGCTGAATTCCACATGAAATATTTATTGTCGAGGGGAAAATATGAAAACATCTCAAATTATACAAAACGTATTGTATCATTATTTTCAAGTACATATGCTTGTAAACATCTTTTTTTTTTTTTCAAAAGTGAAAAATATTAAAAGTTATTTAAGATCAAAGTTGCGTGATGTCCACCTGGAAGATGTTTTGCTTCTGGCATCAATAAATATATCACGTGACATGCAGTAGCTTTTGCACAATAAGCAAAGTGTCTCATTAAATTATGCCTTATTAAGCATCGATTTTTGATTTCTAACTGCATTACATCTTTAGTCTAAGAACAGAATTGATTTGTTTTTGTTACAGTTTGTATTTAAAATAGGTCTTAAATTTCTTGTTTTTTTTTCTTTATTAACATACAGTTTTACATAATATTTAATTTCATAGCCTTCCTCAAGACACTGCCATAGCCGATTGGGCCTCGCTGTTCAAAAGGTTGCTGACCCGCCGACCCCTGATGAAGAGGGTGCGAAAAACATTGAACGGTTTTGCGGGCATTGAGACTTGTTGTGCTGAAAAAGGAAATTTTATCGAATATCGTTACTGCTGACCAGTATGCCTGGAGGCCTGCTGGCGAGAATGGTTGGCTGGCGGTAGCTGTGACTGATGGCTAGCTGGAGCTGAAGCTGCAACTGATGATGATGATGATTATAATGATGATGACTGGAACCATGGGCCGGCTATTTGCTGCTGGAACAGTTACTACACTTTGATCAGTGAGCGAAATAATGGTTCAGTTCGACATTCCAACCACCTGAAGAAGGCCGAAGCATACAATGGCCGAAACGTTGTAATAAATATGGTGACAAAGATGAGGACAATAGTCCGAATAATGTAAATAATGTCTTTTTATATGCTTAATCAGTTTTACAATTATCGATTCTTCCAGTTTTTTGGGGGGTTTTTTTGTGGCAGTGCCGATAGTATTAGACAAGATTTTTATAAACCACTGCTATAAAAAAAAACGAAAATACAAGCGATACATAGCTGAAAGCAAGTGGTGGGGTCGTTTATGCATCTGTAACAGTGTTTCTCAACCTGTGTCCCCAGGAATCCTCGGGTTCTGCAAGAGATTGCTAATGGTGCCGTTAGAAACAGTGAGGAATAGGCTAATACATTTTTGAGTAATTTTTCTTATTTTTATATTCGTAATTTTACAAGATGCTTACGTCATATTGGTCGAGGACTGTTTATTTCTCAGCGCACAGACGTCGCTACAGAGTCTAACACAAGGTCGTTCTTTAAAGTGGATTTAACAGCAATAACGTGGAAAAATTTTCCCAAGACCATTCGGCACTTCGTCAAGCAATAAACACTGTCCCCATCCGAAGGAGTGGTACTGCTTGAAAGGAAGGCCGCCTGAGGTTTGGGCTTAATATTTTTTAAATTTCCCCGGCAAGTAGTTTTTCCCCGTGTCCCTACACTGAGATATGATGTAGCATAAGGTCAGCTTTAATGTGGGAAAGCCGGGCCACCGCCCAAAATTGTCCAGACCTCACAACCGTCGGTTGCGCTGGCATAGGTAGTCACTACCGATCCTGGCCTCTCTAGTGCAATGAGCGCTCGGGGTGGGGATACAGCTGCGTGTAGCTGTTCCTCGGGACCAGGAACCTCTCGGTTTCGCATCTCCCAGCTCCGTCTCTGTTCGCGGATAGTGACACAACTGAGGCGCACTCTGCATGAAGACAGAGGCATAACTGAGATATAATAACGCTACCCTTAACCTGAACCAGGTAAGTATATTTTACCTCGTCTCCCTACCGAAACGTTATGTGACACAAGGTCGAGTTTAATGCGGTGAACCCGAGCGCGTAGACTCAGGCCAAGGCCCCAAATTGCCCAGCCCTCGAAACCGTCGGTTATGCCGGGCTCGGTAGCGACTACCGAACCTCAGGACCAGGCGTCTCTGACGCAGACACAGCCACGAGTCTCACTGAAGACAGAGACGCCATTAAGGGATAATAAACCCTACCCGGCATGAGCCAGGTAAGAAGATTGGCCGTGAATTGATGTTTTTGTCGATTTTTAAGGTCTTTTTATACGTCTATATTTCTGAGATGTACACTATTTACATTATTCGGACTTTTGTCCTCGTCTTTGTCGCCATATTTATTACAACATTTCGGCCTTTCAGTATCTGTCTATATTTCTGAGATGAGGTAATATGTAAACTATTTACATTATTCGAACTATTGTCCTCATCTTTGTCGCCATATTTATTACAACGTTTCCGCCTTTCAATATCTGTCTATATTTCTGAGATGAGGTATAATTTACACTATTTACATTATTCGGACTATTGTCCTCATCTTTGTCGCCATATTTATTACAACGTTTCCGCCTTTCAGTATCTGTCTATATTTTTGAGCTGAGGTATTATGTACACTATTTACCTTATTTTGACTGTTGTCCTCATCTTTGTTGCCATATTTATTACAAATTTTCGGCTCTTCAGTATCTGTCTATATTTCTGAGATGAGGTATTATGTATATTATTTACATTATTCGGACTATTGTCCTCATCATGGCACAGTGGATAAAGGCGTTGTTTAGATCCAATGAGAGGACTCAAAGAGAGTGAGTTCAATACCCGGTTAAGGCAGTGGAGATCTTCCAGAAGGAAATTAACAGGAGATAACTGACATCAATTAAAAACATGACACGTGGAACTAGAACAGTCTATCTCAGTAAGCGAAATAATGGTTCAGTTCGACATTCCAACCACCTGAAGAAGGCCGGAACATACAATGGCCGAAACGTTGTAATAAATATGGCGACAAAGATGAGGACAATAGTCCGAATAATGTAAATAATCTTTTTATATGCTTAATCAGTTTTACAATTATCGATTCTTCCAGTTTTTTTGTTTTGTTTTGTTTTTTTTTTTTGTTTTTTTTTTTTTTTTTTTTTTTTTTTTTTTTTTTTTTTGTGACAGTTCCGATAGGATTAGACAAGATTTTTATAAACCACTACTATAAAAAAACGAAAATACAAGCGATACATAGCTGAAAGCAAGTGGTGGGGTCGTTTATGCATCTGTAACAGTGTTTCTCAACCTGTGTCCCCAGGAATCCTAGGGTTCTGCAAGAGATTGCTAATTGTTCCGTTAGAAACAGTGAGGAATAGGCTAATACATTTTTGAGTAATTTTTCTTATTTTTATATTCATAATTTTACTAGATGCTTACGTCATATTGTTGGAAAATCTTTGGTTATTATAATAAAAATATAAGAATATATAGATATTAATAATGGTATATAATATTTTTATGCAGGTGTATCTTGACACATAAAAGTATTTCAAGGTTTCCACTAAGATAAACTTTGAGAAACGCTGATCTAGGCACATTGTACGTCGGAAATGTAAAAAAGTTGAACGTCGTTTTGTTTCAGAATTTCTCCCGATGTCTCACTGGCGTTTCTTTGCATCTCCTTCAACCTATAATACGAACAATAAAAAATAAATTTAGGCTGACGAAGTCTTTTTGAAGAAAGAAACTCGTCACATGGAATATATTCTATTTTGTTATTAATTTATCCACCATTTGTGTGATATAGATATATACAGACAAACCTCTCATCTACGGACCCCCCCCCCAATCAACGGACTTCGATGCAATGGTCAAAATCTGCAGGCAAAATAGAAAGATATCTGCGGGAAAATAAAAACTTCCAAATCTTCAGCAATGTTATTTGAAAATTTGCATGCTTAGTGGAACGAGTCGTATTAGTTCTCAAAGTGACCGCTTGGCAGCGATGGCTGGCCTTTCAAGTGTAAACAAAGACTGGTGTACAGTGTATAAAGTACGATACATTACCGCATGCGCGAGAAAGTAGCTGTGAGAAATCTATTATTTTTGTTATTTGATTAAGTATATATATATATATTTGTAATGGGCACCACATGCGGGATTCAATTGTGGCGGCACTATGATTTATATTAACGATATTTCCAACGTACAGGATTCAAGTAAATAACAATAACTCCAAATTGTTAATCAACAAATATATATTGAAATAACATACAAGAACAAACATGCAATAAAATTGTGTTCCATATATAGATTAAGGGAAAGAAATTTTCCCCTTTAACTGTAGATTGATTTGTAATTGATTGTTCGAAGAAAGATCTCTTGAGAGAAAAATGTTCAGACATCAATATTAGAGCAAAGTTTGCATGTTAAGAATAAATAACACAAGAATACAATTAATTAAAAATGTGTTGTGTTATAGAATGGTTTGAATCAACAGAGTTCTGGTTGATTGAACTTGGCAAAGTTATAGAGAGAAATGTAAGTTTATATTACGTAATTCTGTGTCTGTGTGTCCGTTTGAAATGTGACGAGCAAGATCGTGGATTTGTGCTGACGGCTGGAATCTTACGGGATCTTACTGGCAACTTGCGAAAAAGTCGTCCCTTTTATGAAAAAAGGGTAGGCTCCGACGGAAACGCGAGAAAACTTAATCTTGCATTAAAATATGTGATTGGTTAAAAATTAACCAATCGCTACATTCGTACTAACAGAACAAGCAAGCAAACTCAAAACCGAAGGATTCAAAGAAACGACTGCGATGGCTAAATTTTCCTGTATAAAAGTAGTAGTGATTTATTAGCCAATCGCAGGAGAATAAATTGTGGACGTGGAAAAAAATAGCAACCGCTACAAGTTTATGCCGTATATATACATGTTTATAGTATTTAAATAGTTACTATAGTGGCTTTATAACTCCAAAATAATCCTTTCCCATCTACGGACAATTGGCTTTAACAGACCACCCCTATTGGTCCTTTGATGAGAGGTTTGTCTGTATATATATATATATATATATATATATATATATATATATAGAGAGAGAGAGAGAGAGAGAGAGAGAGAGAGACAAACCTCTCATCTACCAACCGTCAATGGACTTCAGATGCAGCGGACAAATCTGCAGGCAAAATAAAAAAGAATCTATAGAAAAAAAAAAGACTTCCAAACCGTCAGCGGTGTACTTCAAACTTTGCGGGTTTAGCGGAATGAGTCGTATTAGGTCCCGAAGTGACCGCTTGGCGGCGGTGGCTAGCCTTTCAATTGTAAACACAGACAGGTGTACAGTATGGAAAGTACGACGCTTAAGCGTGTGCGTGAGAAAGTAGCTGTGAAAAATCTATTATTTTTGTTATTTGATTAATATATTTATATTAAGTATATATATATTTATGTTGTATATATACATGATTATAGTATTTACATCATGATCATAACTAGTAGTAGTTACTAAAGCGATTTTATAACTCAAAATTTGTCCCTTCCCTTCTACGTATAATCGGCTTTGAAGGAAAGCCCCTCTTTTATCTCCATCCGCCCTAATAAGTCCGTTGATGAGAGGTTTGTCTGTATTCATATATGTTTTCTTTTCACCGGTACGCTAAATCTTTGTTGCATTTTAAATTTCATGAGTACCTTCAACAAAAGAAACAATGTCGATATTTTCCCAGGCCAGACATGAAGAAAACACCATTTTGACTTCTGCTTGTCAGGGCGTCTGAAGGAAAAAGACAAGAACAGACAAATGTTACCGAGAAAAACTGACCTCAGCCAAATTCCTGCTTGACTAGTCGCACCCAGTTCTATAGAATATGGCAGAAATGCTGAAGGCGGCGGAACTTGGCACTGAGATTTTGTTCGAAGTGAACTCGAAGATGGAATGATGTGTTGTTGGCAACTGACAATTTGTAGTCGAACTGTTCGCTTGACCGAATGCCCCGAGACAACAATGGATGACGAATAACAAAACGAAAAGATTTTGATGAAAACAGAAGTAACAAAAGAAATATCCATTACCTAAAATGTTTCGAAGGGAATATGGCTTGCATTTTATTTTCTTACCTATGTCCAGAATGTGTAGAAATCTTCATAAATATATGTCATTTTTTATACTATTTGTTCCCACAATACAAGACCCAAGGGGCACTCAATGTAGAAGGTTACGGAGTAAAAGGAGACGAAGTCAGAAATGCATATTGTGGGGACATTAGGATAGTATGGTGGTGCATAATTATCAGGCGTTTTTCTAGGAGAGTTAATTATTAATAAAATTTGCTTACTTTTTTAAATAAAAATATTCTTTTATTTTCAGGTCATACAAAATGCGTACATACTCATTTAAAACTATCATTGTCGAATTGTTATGTTTCTTTTTTTATAATAAATATTGTTTAAAAACGCCTGATAATTATGCACCAACCCAACAGCGATGTGTTGACCCTGGACTTAAATAGACCCAGAATGTAGTTGTCAGGGAAACATCCTATTGGGAGACAGTTCCACAAAGTAACAGTTCTGGAGAAGGAGCTACCTGAGTGGAACTTACTCTTTATCGAAGGAACAAAGGGAATGGATATTTTTAATATACCAAGGCGGGTCTTATCTGTGAAGGTCTGAACTGGTGGAACTAAGGAATATAACTGGTCCGAACATCTGCCATAGTAATAACGAAAGAGTAACAACAGGCGGAAGAATAATTCATCACCCATAAGGCCACGTGAAGGGTTTTTGAACTCTATCCAGGCTAGACAGTGAGGTTTGAGCATCCCGTATATAACAGATATAATTATTGCCCTGATCTGAGCATTGTAAAGATAGAGCATGGTCTCTCTCTCTCTCTCTCTCTCTCTATATATATATATATATATATATATATATATATATATATATATATATATATATATAATTTACATTAATTGATTGTCTTAGCAATTTATTCCTTGGGTGAGGCTGAAACTACTTGGGAAAATAAAAGAACTCAAACTATGGCATCTTTAATAAGCATTCTAAGTCTTAGAGTGCTTATTAAAGATGCCGTAGATTCTTAGAGTCTAAGAAACTGATCCGTGAATTTAAGAGGATTAAAATAAAAATAAAGAGATATGTCTAGATTATTCAACCGATTTAAAGCATGTCGGATTTAATGATGGTTACTTCTGTAATGGGAGACTCAGGTTCGAATCATGTTGGGGGCGGGCGCATTTTTCTATAGAGACTTTTCGGTTATTAAAAAATAAAATAAAAATACTGTTTATAAATTAAACGGGGCGTCTACTCCAACATGAGTATCCACTAAAAATAACGTTTAAAGTGATAAAAATAAAAATTCATTACTTCTTCAGAAATATATATATATATATATATATATGTGTGTGTGTGTGTGTGTTTGTCACTGTTTGTTTCTTTCTGTCTCTTGCAGTCTCTATATTTCTTTCTGTTTCTCACTTTCTGTCCGTTACTCTCTCTTTATCACTCTAGCTCTCTTTCTTTTCCTGTGCCTCTATCTCTCTCTCTGTCTCTTTCTCTCTGTGTATCTCCCTATATCTCTCTATGTATATATCTCTGTATCACTCTTTTTCTCTCGAGCTCTTTATGCTTCTGTTCTTCTCTCTATATCACTTTTTCTTGCTGTCATCTTCTGTCTGTCTCTCTCTGTTTCTCTCTGTCCCTCTGTCTCTCTATTTGATTCATACCCACTTTTCTTGGCTAAATGTAGACGTCTTTGCAAAGAAGTTGGCTACATGCAGGCCACTTACCATATCTCCCGATATAACACGATCCTGCACAACGTGACTTGTAATACAACACGATGATGACGTAGCGAACCAATCACAAAATAGCATAAGAAACAGTATCCAATCAATAAAGCGCATCCATTCACTGCTGAGAAATTCCCAATCTTGCTAAAATTTCCTAGTAAGGGATATTTTACCAAGAGAAAGAAACGTCTAAAACTTTCAACATAGTATAATTCAGCAAAAATGCTTCGTTTAAATATATGTCATTGAAGAGAAAAGGCAGACAACGTCTGTTAAAACTTCCGTTGAGTTTCTTATGACGTTCAATAAGTCGTTTAATGTCAGGTGAGAACCTTGTAAAGGACTTTGCCGAAATAATGTTTCATGCTCCGACTACTTTCGATAATCTTTGGTCGCTCTTAAAGAAATAAGTTAGACAGTCGAGGAATAGACAATAAAACGTTTCTGTTATTAACGTTCCAAAGTTTAAAATGAACGTGAGTTCACATGCTACGGTGTTCAAAAAGCTTTTAGCGTCACATCTGTAATGGCCCAGTGGGTAGTTGGACCAGTATTATTCATATTATTATACTTTCAACATACAGGATTCAAGTAAACAACAAAAACTCCATACTTTGAATCAACAAATATATATTGAAATAACATACAAGAACAAACATACAATAAAATTTTATTCAATGTATAGATTAAGGGAAAGAAGTTGTTCCCCTTTAATTGTATTTTGATTTGTAACTGATTGTTTGAAGAAAGTTATTTTTGAGAGAAAAATGTTCAGGAATCAATATTAGAACAAGGGTCTGTTTGTTTGAATAGATAACACAAGAATACAATTGATCAGAAATGTGTTGTGTTATAGAATGGTTCGAAATCAGCAGAGTCCTGGTTGATTGAGCTTGGTTAAATCACAGAGAGTGTGAGTTTATATTACAAGATTCTGTGTCTGGGTGTGTGTTTGAAATGTTATGAGTAAGATCGTGGACTCATTTGGACAGGCGAAAATACTGGATCCTACTGACGACGTGAAAAAGTCGCGTCTTTTAAGGAAAAAGAATAGGCTCCCACAAAAGCGCGGGAAAAGGTTAATCTTGCACTAAAATATGTGATTGGTTAAAAATTAACCAATCACTACATTCGTACTAACAAAACAGGCAAGCAAGCTCAAAATCGAAGGATTCAAAGAAATGACTGCGATGGCTAAATTGTCCTATAGATAAGTAGTATTGATTTATTAGCCAATCGCAGACGAATAAAATGTGGGCATAAAAAAACATAGCAATTTCTACACATCCATTACTCCAAACCGAAAATCTTGTTACTTAAACATTTTATACAGATACAATTTTAAATTCAGCTCAATAATTAAAAGTCTTTTTATATCGACAGATATCTTTATTCTTTTTTTTTTTTCGTCTACATCAACTTTCTATTTTAGAGCTTCTTTGATAAATTGTGTTTCTTTATAAGATGTTCTGTAATATTATTTATTTAAAAAGTTGGCGATTACTCTCCTTAGAAAACCATTACTTTACTGCCAGTAACCGGACCCCCCCCTCTAAAACAATCGTCAATCGCCAGCCCCACCCACCTTCCGATTTACAGAATGACAAAAACTGAAAAGATCAAGTGCACGGTTAAGCCATTAGATCTTTTAATACTGAAGTAAAACGTATTTTCCTTGAAAATATTGACATTGAACATATTTATTTGGATGTGCGGGTGATGCAACAGTTAACGACTGGAAAAAGAAGCCAGCAGACTGAGTTCGATTTCCGGCCGAAACGTTTATAACGAAATATTTGCCATTCACTGACTGAGTAGCCAGTAATGTTTTTGATTGAAATTTATAATTTCTTACTCTTAAAATAATTTCTCATGACAATTTATTTCTCGAGTCCAATAGCTGTTATCGCTCTTTTCAGTATTAATGGGGGTTTCCTTCCTAACCTTTTATTTAAAGTAGTGTATAGTGGTTTTATCAAGAATCTGTAAATCTGTAGAAGCATCACTCGACTCTATATTTTTTCTTTTTTTTTTTTAGAATTTACTCCAAGCAAGGCAGTAAAGCCACTAAGACACAAGGGGTTACTAGATGTAAAAGAATTAGAAAACAAAAACTTTATGAAGGAGTGACAACAATAGAAGAGTAACCAGGAAGACAGTTGATAATGATTGCCATTGTATTTCATTTTTTTGAAGATCAAAGTTGTCTGGGAAGCATGGAGCCGGAATATTTTATGGTAATCGTTCTGATGAACCATTCGCGATGGTACCTAGACTTTATAAATTTAAGCGAAATGCTAGATTGGCGGCAAGGTTTCATTAATTTATGGCTGAATTAGTTAAATATAACCATAAGTTCTATGCTAACAGTTTCTTTTCTCGCACTTCTCGCCTGTGGAACTCTCTCCCGGCTCCATGCTTGTCAGCCAACTTTGATCTTCAAAAATTTAAATGCAATATCAATCGTTAACCTACTGACTTCCTGATTACTCTTCTATTGTTCTCACTCCTTCATAAAGTTTTTGTTTTCTAATTCTTTCACACCCAGTAACCCCTTGTGTCTTAGTGGCTTTACTGCCTTAATTGGGGTAAATTCTTAAAAACAAAAACATACGGTCTGCTGATGCATCTACAGATTTACAGATTCTTGATAAAATCAGAAGAAAAATCAGCAATATTATTGGTCCTGACCTGGCATTCTTACCGGCGTAATTTTGCTTCTCTGTGCCTTTTCTATAAATACTTTAATGGTAATCGTTCGGCTGAACGATTCGCGATGGTACCCAGACTTTATAAATTTAAGCGAAATACTAGATTGGCGGCAAGATTTCATCAATTCACGGTTGAATTGTTTAAATATAACCGCAAGTTCTATGCTAACAGTTTCTTTTCTCGCACGTCTTGCTTGTGGAACTCTCTTCCGGCTCCATGTTTTCCAGCCAATTTTGATCTGCAAAAATCTGCATGGACACATGAAACTGAGATTTCCGTCATCATGTCAAGGCAGTTTGTGAATATGTCTAGTGACGGGACAGGATGCAGGGGTGCTTTCTGATCTTTCCAATGATTATTACTGCGACGTGAACTTCAAAGGACCCAGCCGGAAGTGTGATAGGTTAAAAAAAGAAATTACCTGCGCCAGTACGCATGCGTGCTCGCTTGAATACTGGAGTAAGTGTCGGTCACCAGTACAGTAAATGTCTTTGTAACAAAACTTGGAAAATATACGTAAAAATGATTTGGGTAAAAATTAAGCAAAATCAAAGAAACAACAAAAAAATACTGGAAAGAAATAAAAACTCTCAGCAAATGGAGTTTATGAAAAGAAATTGTTATCTGCTCGGTAAAAAAGAACTGTAATAAAATGTTTTTCGTGTGTAGAACCGACTGAATCAGAAGTTGCAGACGACAAAGAAGGAATGTCGAAGCTTGGCGGGAGTGTGGTTAGTAGAATTCAAGTAAAAAGGAAAGGGAATGACTGCAAAGGAATTCTATTTAATATTACGTCGCATCTTTTGAATATAAGTGAAACAAGTCGTGGGTGATAAAAGTTTTAAACAGAAATTTCTATTTAGAAAAACAATTGAGAAAATGAAGTTCAATTCAGAGAAGCGGACAATCTGATGTTTTATATTTGGGGAGGTGGTGACAGGAGCCGTGGAAACGAAAAGAAAGAAAGAAAGAATGGGTGGATTATCTTTCTTATACCCCCCCTCTCTCTCTCTCTCTCTCTCTCTCTCTCCCCATTCACTTTCATATCCCCTCTCTTTCTGTCTCCCCACTCACTTTCTTATCCCCTCTCTTTCTGTCCCCCACTCACTTTCTTATCCTCTCTCTCTCTCTCTCTGTTATCCCAACTCTCTTTCTTATCCTCTCTCTCTGTCTCACCACTCACTTTCTTATCCCCTCTCTTTCTGTCTCCCCATTCTCTTTCTAATCCCCACTTTTTTCTGTCTTCCCACACACTTTCTTATCCCCTCTCCCAATTCTGTCGCCCCACTCTCTTTTTTATCCCCACTCTCTCTTTCTGTCTCCTCACTCGCTTTTTTATCCCCTCTCCCTCTCTATCTCCCCACTCTCTTTCTTATCCCCTCTCTTTCTCTGTCTCCCCACTCACTTTCTTCCCCCTTTCTGCCTCTCTTTCTTATCCCCTCTTCCCCTTTCTGTCTCCCCACACTCTTTATCCACTATCTTTCTCTTTCTGTCTCCCCACTTGCTTTCTTATCCCCCCTCTCTCTCCCCCCTCTATCTTTCTTATTCTTTCTCTTTCTATCTCCCCACTCTTTCTTATTCTCTCCATCTTTCTGTCTCCTCACTCTTTTTATCCACTCTCTTTCTCTCTCTCTCTCTCTCTCTCTCTCTATTTCTGTCTCCTCATTTGCTTTCTTATCCCCTCTCTATATATATCTCCCATCTCCCTTTCTTATCCCCCTCTCTCTCTTTCTGTCTCCCCACTCACTTTCTTATCCCCTCTCTCTCTCTATCTCCTCACTCTCTTTCTTATCGTATTTCTTTCTTCTTTTAACTTCCTTATTTTCTTCACTTTCCTTTTCTTTCCTTATTCTGTTTTTTTTTTCCTTCATCATTTTTCTTCATGACCTTTTCTCTTGCACATTTCCATGTTCTTTCTTCGGTATTTCTTTCTGTTTTGGCAGTTTTCATTTCATTCCTTCCATTTATTTCATTCATTTTTTTCCCTTCCACTCTGCAGAAACAAAAACGCATCAAAGAATTCCGCTTTTGACTCTGATACCTGTTTATTTACTTTCAAACGACCGAAATAGTCGGCTGCACCATTAAACTCAAATCAATCGATTCGTCCTCCGATAAGAGACACATTTCCGAAAAGAAAATCTGACCTCGGCTTCAAAGACACGAAGCGCTATCGCTTCAATTCCGACATTATTAGTTTTCACACCAGTCGCATTTGGTTCCATTTTCGTTGGAGATTGAGTGACAACAAGCATTCCAGGACCTCTTTCAGTATCGCCTGAATAAGCGATTTCTTCCGATAATCACTCTCTTCAGTCTTTTTCGTAAAGATATTCAGAATC